TTATAAAGTTACCCTCTCAATCCCTACAAACAACATGCACGTGCTATTGTAAAAGAAAAGTGATATTAAGCCGTTTCTGAATAATTTAAACAACCCCACAAAAATTACTATAGTTATTTTTAATGTTCCTTCATTTATCGAGTTCTTAGGTTTTCGCGATTGTTACACATAGGAAATGAAACTATTATTCCGGGTTTAAATTGCGAGTCAACCATGGGACCTGTAAAGGGCCCGAAATGTTGGTTTGTTTGAAAAAACAAATATACGCGATTTAAATTCGGAAAAATTTACTATGTTCTTTCATTTATTTATGGAATATAATACTAATGTACGAACGAACGAGCCACTTTTCGCAGCGAGTGTACATATTCACCTGCGAAATCTAGATTCTGCGCTAGTTACCTAGCAACCACCTAGATGGGGATGGATGGGCAGGCCGATCGATAGATGCCTCGCGGCGCACTCCCGCCGGTAATTATTTTTATTACATCCCGGGTTGCACGCATGCGCTATGCAGCTGCGTTGGCCGGGTCGTCCTCGGCGCATCGATCACTTCAGATGTTGATTTATATGTAGGTACTCGTAAATGTATCTATGTAATACACAGAAATATTAATTTAGCAAAGACACCAGCGTGCTAGAGAAAGGCTTGTCGGACATCGCACAAGTACTTGTAAACAAAGGAAATGCCGCACTGCCGACCACGAGCTTTACACAAAGGAATGGATTCTTTGCACTATTTCCTTGCAATGAATGCAAGGGAATTCCGGGGTGATATCAAATTAATAGGCACTAGGAAATTTCGTAGTGGATACGTACACAAGTACATGGAATTCAATTACACAATTGTTTGTTCCGGGCACGGGTCAGTTCGTTCGAGAGGGAGAGGGGAGAGGGTGGATGGTAATTAAAATCCTTTGGACGAACGAATGCACTCTCTAATAGAATTGCTCGAATACAAAGACTTCAATCTACTCGTACAAAAACTCTACTCGCAAAAAGCTTATTTACGGAGTACTTCAAGGCAAAGTGCTGGATCACAGCTATTATCAATATATACCAATGACTTTTTGCAATCATTCGCCGGCCATACACTTACTTGTAATGTTGAGAGCGAAATTAGTGACCATTTGATTTGCATTTTTAATTAACGAGCTTTACAGACAGTTGTGCTCGATTGAGCGCGCGGCGATGAAAGGAAAAGGGGAACTTATCACATCCGTCGCGCGCGCAATCGCGCACTCCAACATGCGCCAGTTTCACGCGATCTATCCTGAGCTTTTAGCCTTTACAAGGACGCTCTTTCCGTTGTAACAAAAACGAAAACGAGTATTCGCGCGCGAAAGAACGTTAGCTTAACAACTGTCAAACTGATAATCGCGCACGATTGCGGGTCCAGCTTTACGCTCCTGATTACGCGCGATGGAGTATTAAATACTAAAACAACAGTAAATGATACCAGTTAAGTTAAATAAAGTCAAATTAGTATCTTAACAAAAGACTGAACATAACAAGTGAATACCACTACCATAAATTACCTACGCTAATATATTCTCTTTTAATAAAATAACAATCTCTTAATAATCTATTAAAAAAATCGCATTATATTCAAAATTCGAAGTTTAAATCTCAAAATTACCTTAGCGAACGGCTCGCTGACAGCCTTGTTGCCATTCCGTCAATGTAAACCGTCCATATGAGGGGCGCGGTGTGGGAATAAAAGCTTGGGAGGGGCGGAGAGTGACCTCTCTCTCGTTCGTTACTTATTTATTCTCTGACAAAGTTAACAGGCTTATGTAGCTTTTACTTTGTGTTACTGTATTTTTTTTTAAATACATCAGGCGTAGATTACGAATGTTGTGCTCCAAAAAAGATTGTGAGAACTACCTGATTTGAACAGTTTCATTTGTTAGCGGTACTGGAACTATATATACAAAAATGTTTAATTTTTATTTCGGACCAATGGTAAAATATCCATAGTAAAACTTAAAAAAAGGTTGGTATAAAAGAAAGCAAATTAATTAAAAATATGCTTTTAATTTGCTCTACACGAAATTTAAAACGGAACAACCGAATCTCCCTACATTAGCACTTAGAACTTGGTACTTGGCGTTGTGGCTGATTTATTATGTGACAGTAATTAAGTTCAGCTTATATAGAGAGCCGGAAAAGTAATGTATTCTATTTGAGAATCCCTTATCAATTTGCTAGTCATATGTATGTAAGGCATCAATATTTATAAAATCGAGTTTGTACTGTGAAAAATGTGTAATCAATATTCCTATTCAATTTGAGCCAATTAAAAAAAAACAATTCAAACTAACTAAATTTTGAGTGAGCCGCCTCGTGTTCCTCGGTTTGTTCCACGTAAAATTATGAGCGCGCATAGGCTTCGATCCGGACTCGTTCTTTTAAGAAATTTTCGTATTTGATGCAGAGGGTGCATTCACCGAATTGCGAAGTAAAAAGTGTAAAATTTCTGAGGATGTACGATTGATGGTACGGATATGTGCACACGCTGGTTTCTGTACATTTAATGTTGGGTGGTTTCAATTTTAATTTCTACGGTTTCAATCCGTTTTGCCGGAGCCAACGTGGTGGTGCCGCGAAGATTTTGTACACATGTTTGGTTAGGTAGTATTTTCATTTGTCTGTCTGGATTTTATTAAGTGTTTTCATGATGTATCGTTTTTGTAATGGCATTGAGCTCCTAAATAAATATAGAGTTTAAAAAAAACTTTATTTATGCGAGCAGCAATCACATAACAGCTGTTAAGTAATCCATTTAGTGGATAAGTACATAAGTAGATTAGAATCAAAGCCACCCCACTCGTTTCGCGATTTGCGTGACTCGAATATGGAACCATTTGGTGGTCTAACGTTTTATTTCTAAAATGTCAAAGTACTTACGGACACTCCTTTAAATTAAGTTACAACTGGAGATTTGTAATTAGCACTTTCACCTGTTACTTAACATGTATGTATTGTTAAAAATTTCGCTGTAAATCTTCCAAAAATAAATAAACTTAGTTAATTGGTATGCCACATAAATCAATCGTCCAACTATACAACAGCACAATTTCGAGTATCCATGTCTGATAATTTTAAATCACCTTGTGTTTATTTTGTGTGTCAATGGCAGGATTTTGTACTTAATACATTCAGGCGTCACTTTGCGGAGGTCCATGTTAATGAAAATGGAAGTAAATTAATTTGCTCATCTGTTGACTGCTCGACTGCCGAACGTCGAGCAGTCAACAGCCCCTGAGGATGCCTCGTGGAGAGGCGAAACACGTGTCGGGTATATTTTTGGTGACGGTTTGTGTGTGTTGTTACGCTTGTGTTAGTTATTTTATTAATTTTATGCGGAGGGAGGGTGGGATAATTAACTGAATGAAAAAATATTCGCAGCTATGTTATACGATTTCACCTTCACTGGGTTTGGCATTCTACTAAAAGTTTAAGAGTTTGAGTGATTGCCATTGCAATTTTTTGGTATTCTGCTCTTCGATGGCTCATTCGACTAAACTGCCGATTAATCGAGATAATAGATAATATAAGACAATTAAGATGTGCATTAATTTCCATTTTAGTAAGGCAACATCTTTAGTGAGTGATTAAAATTAAAAAGTCATGGAACAAAAAATGCTGTTTATGATGATAGTAATATATAGTCCTGCGATATGTTAGTATTAGCCTCGTTGATGATCTATATTATTTTGCCATCTTTATATATATGTATGTATAATGATCATTTCATTACCAAAGTCAAATCAAAGTGTTGTCCATTCAAAGAATTTATGTAAAGATCGAAACAAGTGAAAATTTAAAGAGGCTAGGTCGGGCGAGAATGCTGTGAGTGAGGTAACACGTCCCAAACTAATTACAATAGTTTTTGTCGGTTTTGTAAACAGGTATGTGTATAGTTCGGTGTTATCATGACAAAATACGACATGACACCTTTACGATTCACCGGTTCTGGGCGTTTTCGTGAAATATAAACTTATAACCTTCCCGCCCAATGAGCGTTAAATTTATTATTTTTGAAACATGAAATTCCTTTCTCGTTTGAAGTTTGCTATATTATACAAAAACCGCACCATAATATCAGTATAAGGCACTTTTTATATAAAAAAATACCGTACCAACATTGATATATTTATCTACGATTTTTTTTAAACAACTCTGTTATGTAAACTTTGTAAATTACTATAAAAGTATTCTGTCGATTTACAAAAGTTCACTAAAAATCGCATGGCAATTCGACAGTTACGTTTGGAGAGTGTAACTACGCTGGGCGGTTCTAGACGGTTTCGTGAATTTAATCATACAATGGAACAACTCGAGAATAGTCTGGTCCGTAAATTAACGTCTCAGAATGAGATAGAACCATAACTGTTTTTAAAGAGGCCAACGGCTTTTCAAAATGGTTAAAATCGATAATTATCTTCACCGTGAATAAACGCCTCTTCAATATGAGATAGAACCATAAGGTCCTTAAAGGGACCGACGATTTTCCAAAATAATAATATAATATAATAACGCACACACTCAACACAGCCCCGCACTAGGGAAACCCTGTGTCGCGGGTGCCATGGACACACACATAGACAACCACAAATTACACCCAAACTCACGAGAGAAAGAAATGTAGGTCATGCAAATATTTCGCCCGGCCCGGGAATCGAACCTGGGACCTCTGCGTGGCAGTCCGGCATGGTAACCGTTCGGCCACGGAGGCAGGAGGCAGGAGGCAGAAAATGGAATAATTAGATAATTATATCCTCCGTGAACTAACGCCTTTTCAGAATGATATAGAACCACATTAAGTACTTATAAAGGGGCAACGATTTTTCAAAATGGGACAAATCAACAATTATCTTCTCCGTGAATTAACGTCTTTTCATACTGAGATACAACCATAAATATTTTCAAACGCTACAACACAGCAGAAGGTGAAAGTACCTACTAGGAGGTGTATGCGAAATAAAAAGCACATGCAAACATTGAGCATATTTAATCGTAAACAATAATACATTTATATCTTACACTATAAGTGTGACAATCTTAGCCACGTAGAGCCCAGCTTTCGCGACCGTGCCCATGAGAACCCGTTTCAATATGGTGGAGCGTCAGGCGGATGTTTATTTGTGACGAATGTTTTAAAAGACAGTCTCTGCAGGACGTAGCTTTTTAACAGAACTTTTGTTTGTCAATTCACGTTATTAAAACGGGGGTCATTTTCATAATGCCCCTAGATACGTGACTACTTTTTATTTGTGTATATAACGTTATAAATTTAAAAGACATATAAAAAAGTTACGTTTATTTACAAAAAGGAGATCATTATTTTGATAATGAGCCCGAACATATTTTTTTTTAAATTTAATTACGAGTGATGTGCTCAAAACAACTTTTTTCGCATAGATACATTTTTTATTGTTTCGTAAATGGGAACAGTTCTCCGCGTACCGCTAAACTGTACTAGAGCTGATTTTAGTTCTACCTATATTTGATTTCGTGCAAATATAACACAAATTTTTGTTTGATGTATAAATTATTATTATAATGTTTTATAAATATTTATCGAATTTATAACAATGTTATGGAAAAGACTTGGTACAAAATTATTATTATGATTTTTATATAGTATATTAAAATTTTAGGCCATGTTTTTAATAAAATAATCCATTCTGCAAATGCGCGTATAATACGTAAGATCGACTAAATGTTCTTCGTCATTTCAAAATCGTTATTCTAAGTCGTTAGCTTTAAAATTAAGTACCAAACGAACGTGTTTCACTACATTGACTACACACGTATTGTTACTAGACATCCAAATGTAAACACATCGAAATACGACGGCACTACAACTTATTCCGCGAACATTTAACTGAGGTCGTTATTTACTACAGCGCCGTCGTCAACACAGCGGAGTTGAGAATGTTCTGACCACAACAAGTAACTATCGCTACTAACAACATATAGATATGAATAGAAAAATATTAAATTTTAAAAAGAAAAATTCACAATCCAATTTCGGTAATGCACTGTTGAGCTTATACAACCTAAGGGCGCATTTCCATTATGTCGTGATGACAGATAGCCGCGCAGTTTAAAGTGTCGTGGCTTCACTTAGAGTACAACACTTTAGTTGCTGTTCATGACTTTTTTGACGTTACGACGACAGCCTGTCAAGACATGCGAAGAGCTAGAACGACAGTCCTCTGACAATAAATAAGACGTCACGATAAAAACGAGATGACAGACAATCGCAGCTACTATTATCGTCACGTTTTATTTATCATTGTCTGTGCGTGTTGTGCTCCCTACTCTCGCCGTGAACTAATAAATTGTCGTCACGACGTCACGATTCAGTGGGAATAGCTTTTTTTTTAAGTTACTAATAATCGTCAAACCCTAAATAGTCTGATATGTGATTTGGAATATTGTCACAGATACCTGAAAATTGTCGTTTGAAATTTGTCGGTCACGGCTGCGTTTTTTAGTTGACCCGCCGGCGCCGCGCGCTCCTACGCCGGATATAATTTCGCGGCACCCGATTCGGCCTTTTTTGCCTTACAGGCCTGTTCGGTTGTTCTTCAGGCACCTGATCAGGCGTTTTCATCAAATATAAGCTCCATATTTTAACCCTACATAGGATTAGCAAGAAATGAAGCATCCATGGCACGACGACCGTTACACATATCATAATTATTTGTTCGCATACGGCTATGAACTCAGATTTGCTAAATGCGGATGTGTTAAGGCGGTACATGCCCCACATAAAGGGCTGATAGGCAACAGTCGACATTTTGACTGCGCTCTACTTGACTACGACGTTAATTATGATATACAATTTATACAAACCTGGTAAAAGTATATAGTATATTTGTAAAAATATCGCTTATCGGCAACATACAGTGATACTGGCACCTAGTAAACAAATTACAAGTGTTTCATAATGGATAGCTTACTCCTATCTAAACAATCGCAGGAGAGTGACATGCAGGTATTGTCTAACAGTTAAAATTTTTATCCGGAGTGTTAAGAAAACAGGATAGCAGACCAACAAAGCTAAGCTCGAAAAATTTTTTTAAGTTCGAACGCGTTACGTAACTCGCAAGCAAAATGGCGGCTGTTGTTAAGACGCCTGGGCGTTGGCTCTGGGCGTGGTTTTACTAACGTTCGACAAAATGGCGCCGCAATCGCCTTGCGGAATGCGCAATCAATCGCTCGATGCCGGGTGAAATAACAATGTCTAAGTGAATTAAATCCTTCCAACAAACTTCAGCTGTTTCAGCCCAGAGAATCAATTGTTTGTCTGAACCCCATTTTTTTTACAAATATTTGCTTAGTTTACAGTAATAAAAAAAATTTCTAATATTGCACGCTTAAAAAACAAGAAAAAGAAGTCAATGCAAATAACATGAAAATACCCACTCAGATATAATGTTGTCACCAGCAGGCACACTTTTATATGATAATTAAGTTTTAAATTAGATTAGGATATAACAGATGAATTTTCGGACACTCACTTTCGGAATCGTCCATCCTGCTGAATGCTAGTGCGCTTGCCACTGAAAAAAAAAAGCTTCATTAGACATTTTATACGCTGTGGTATCAAACTGAAGTCAATGAAATTCAATTCACAAGAGCATGATCACTGGTTTCCAATTTTTAGCAGCCTTGACACTTACACGCAATGTAGCTCCACCTTCCCGGTTAAGTTCTTCCGCCTTTCTCTCAGTATCAGCCGCTTTAAGCTGCTGACGCTGCAAACGCTGTGGATCCTTGACTCCACGTGCCTCTTCCTGCTGGCGGCGACGCTCAGCAGCCTCCACCTGCTGCCGCCGCCTAGTCTCCTGGCACAAAAGAACCACAATGATGAGTATCTTTACAATTTTAACATACAATGTATATTGCTGCTAAAGCCTCTAACACTTACAAAGTATTTCACAGGACAAAGGAGCCAAGATCACCTCAAAAAGCGATAAACTAACGCGGAGATGCTTCCACAATGAGAAGCAGAGCTGAACAACGCTCGCCTGGGCGGCGCAGGGCGAGGAGCTGTCTAAAAATAGAATCGTCAATAACAGCTTACTGGAAGTAAGCGATGGTGATTTCGATTTACATGAAGGGAGGCGGACGGGTTGGTTTGCACGGCGCAAGTGCAGTAACCCGGTGCATAACGCGGCCTCTGGCGAACGGTTGGAAAATCCCGAGCGTCCCGGCAATCTGTTGCTCACCGCCGACGGACCTACTGATGGCATCGTGTTATACAACGATCAGTAGGTAGAACGTTCTTCATCAACGAAGCAAAGATAAACTTCTTACACATTAATCGATGCTCTTCTAATACGAGATTAAACTACTTACAACGTCTGGCGTCATAACATCAGAAGCCGAAGGTTTACAACACGACGCGAAAGCACCCATTTCTTACAAAAACACTTCGTATACACTTGTAACAAATATTCAAGAAGTTTCTTATAGGTTATAATTTTAACAACAAACCAACGTCAACAACTTAAAGTTTGACATCAGAAATATCGTCTAAAAAGTTTCTTAACAAATCTCATTCGTTTAAATGTTATGGAACCTTGAATTACTTTTCTTTCTTTGTTGTCTATATTTGCTTATTGAAGGCAGAGTAGTACAGCGTGTAATTTATTTTATTTTATTATTTGTATTCAGGTTACAAAAACCCACAAATACATACCCTAAAAACTAACATACATAATATTTTTTCTTGGCACATGGACGTTAGATTTTTGTTTAGTTTTCCTTTAAAGTACTTGTTCCTCTAAAGTATTAATTATTGTGTAACTCCACTGTAGGATATCCCAGAGTTGTGCGATACCGAGGGAAAGTATTTTACATTATTGTTTATAGGATATATTGCTTCATGGACACATTATTTTATTTTTAAAAGTCAGTAATACAAAGGTCAGCATTCAAAGATTTTTGAAAGTTGCTTGCCTCATCTGGGAATCGAAACGACCCTACACGAAAATATCCTGTATTTTTAGTTGTCAATCGAAAGGATCAATTATAAGGATAAATTCCTTCTTATAGTAACGAAACGCCATGAAAATGTTATTACTATTAATAAAAATGTCGTTTTCCTGAAAATTTTCATGACAATTATTCTCATTGTTATTTATGCGGTTTTTGTTTATTACTTTTCAAAGAAATGTATAAGTGAACATGGAAATAGCTGACAGCGGAAGTGCTATAATACAATATAATAGAAATATTATTTATTGCACACGAACAAATATAAAATATTGCTAAATAGCAAAATCTTCCAGGCTACCACTACAGGCTTTTGGGTTATATGATAAACTGTAAGATAAAATACGTCTATGGTTTAGGTTCTCAGAGAAAAGTTTAAGGAGACTGGTATCATAACTGTGGCATCACGGTAAATTTACTAAAATATTTTGTATGCCCGTAAAGAGAGTTGATATCCATAATATTAACCTTACAAATAAATCCTCATGTAACTCATAGTACCACATTTTCGTTTAACTAAAGTAAACGATTATTTACTGGGGAACTGTAACAATAAGATTCCGGAGCATTTATTAAGATTACCATTTCCTAAGTTTAAAACTTAACTGACTCGAGAGATAGGGTTTTCCGGAGAGACTACGGGCTCGACGGCAAGACCAGGGTGCGGCGGGCGTCCGGGCTCTCTCTCCTGCCATCTGCCAGTGATACGCCGTCACGGGCGTCTCTAGCGGACCCGGACTTGGGTATGAATTCGCCGGGGTTTGTGGTTAGCTACAGGGTCGAACACGTTCGTCTGCTCCGGTGGCGTGTGGCCGAGGCGTTCCTCCCAGTAGCAGCCTAATTGAGGGCCTGAGGCGGGGAGACGCGCGGGGCATACGAGTTGACCTTTAAGTCGGTAGCTATGTCCCGATATTGTCGCAGGAGACTGCTACTTGGCATGGCTACTTGGCTAGTAGCGGACGAGCTAGACTGTTTCTGGTCCCTCGGGCCGTATAGGAATATGGGAACTGGAGAGACGCCGTTCGGAGACATTCGGCGTCGGGAAGTGAGCGTGCTTTACAGCTCCGCCACCCATGAGGAGATTTGATGGCAGTCGGTGGCTCAGCGGTGGCGACCGTTAGTCGTGTGGAGTGCGACGGGAAGTGAGCGTGCCTGCAGCTCCGGTTCCTATCTGGAAAATAGGGAGGGTGCTGTACGTGCGTCTGGGGCGGGTCACCTAAAGCCTACAGAGAACCGGATGAAGTCCGTGCAAACGCGCTGATCCGGGGTTAGGACCTAACTTAGATGGTCACTGTGCAGGTCCGCATAAGTCATAGTACCCTTCCCACACAACCAAGAGGTTGATAGGGAGGAGCATTACAAACAAAACTTATGTAGAAAGAAATGGCACTGCTCGCTCGCCCCACAAAATCAAGTATAAAATATATTTTTATAGTTCAAGCCATTATGCCCTCCTTGTCTTAAATCATAACCACCGCATTTGCGTTTTGATCTCTTCCGAAATATTGGCGTCCGAAGATTTGTTTTCAAAATAAAACATAAACTAAATAAGATATAAAACCGCTTTGTAGTACATTGTAACCACGACACAGGCTTGGCATAGTGTGATTATCAGTGTTTATCACATAAATGTACCTAGATCTGATGATAAAATCGTTTCAATTTAATTTAACTCGCTGTAATTAATTTTAACTCGATTTAAGACCGGCGTTAACAAAGCTTCTGGTTAAAACCCGGACGCATGTCTATCTCTGGTTTTATGTCAATTACATTTGTTATTTATTTATTCATTCATGGAAAACCAACAGCTTCTTATATTTAATAAAAACAGTAACATAAACATAAAGCCCATTACAATTTTCCATCTATATCTTCAGACAAATCATACACGGGCATTAAATAAACGAATAATGAACAGTATTTCGTAACAACATGCACTTACATAAATCTAACAACACAATACCTGCGCAAATCACAAATTATTTCATAAAGTTAAGTAAATAGATAATAAATAATTTATTATCTATTTACCTAACTTTAAGACCGGTCGTTCTGGCGATTTTTGGTGGAGGACAGGCCTCCACCAAAAAGTTCTGCAATCGGACGTCTTTTGGCTGAAGTAATGATAATAAAGATGATATTTGACTCATTATAGTATTTTTATATTTTTCTAAAATTCTTGTTTTTAATGGTTAATGAAACCAGATACGCGTTAAAGGCGCCTTGTAGTTCTCAGATGCTACTGTATCATGTAGAAATTAGAGATAAAGTAGTATAAGTACATTGCGGAATATTGAAGATTTTAATTTACATTTTTTTTTCAAATGTTCTCATTTTTCAGACAAGCTTATAATTTTTTTAAATATTAGATTGCGATTAATTGTATTGTACTTCATGATTGTAGTGTAATAACGTTATAGCCTTAGAATAATAACGCATAGAATGATAGTTTCATATCAAACGAACTGTCACAAGTGAGGCAAAAACCAAATTCATGTAGGCGTAAGCAACTTGTATTTACGCTCGTCGGCACGCACACAAATATACAAATAATGATGCCATGGA